TGCTGAGTTCAGCTAGGTGAAGCTTGAGCCCTGAATGTTGTCTGTTTCTTTTCTAAAGATTTAGCGTAAGGAAGAAGAAGAGTTGTGGCTTCGGAATTTGCCTTGGTCATGGAAGGTCAGGACACTATACAACTCAAGATTAGTCAAGGAAAAAGTAAAAAAGTTGAAAGAAGATGTGTTTTACTTTATCTCAATGGGGGTAAGTTTTCACATTTAAAAGGAAGGAATTGATAGCCCCAAAAGGGTTGGATTTCTTGATAAGTGATGTTTTGTAAACCATGTTAAATTTCTTCAATGTGTAAGACTGATCGGGGGGGGTGCTTGGTAGGGGTTATTCTGTTAAAGAAGTTATGGGATGTTTGGTCTGACAATATTTTGAATGATCTGGCTGGCGAGGATTGAGTTATGCTTGAGGAATAAAATGGTGAATCTGGTTGGCAAGGAATGAGTTATCATCTTGGATTGTGGGAAGGGGAAGGAGTTTTCATGACACTGATCATCTGGGATTCAAGAACTAATGTTCAGGCATATTTTGCCGTTACATTCTTCAATATACGTGACAAAAGTCCATAATGGAAAAAAGAAGAAAGAAACGACAGATTCTTGCATTCGTCTGGAGACCATGGTGAATGTTTCTACCGACTTGATCAAACATGTCTGCCAAGGGAGCTGGTAATAAGCTGATTCACATTCTCAGAGAACTGCTCTTGCATGAAATGTGAACCCTCTGGCAAGAACTCCATCCCAACGTCAGGTGCATACTCTCACTTCCCCTCTTGTTATGTATTCCTCCTTCCCTGGGAACTTGAGAAAACAGTCTTTGCCTCCCACCAGAAGCAGCACATGAACTTCCACTTTTGGATCTTTAATGGTCAAATCTTTTGCCCCTTTCCAGTCAACTTGTAAATTAAGCTTTTGTTTTTCATTGTTGAAATGGAGGATGAAAGGTTCTTTCTTTCTTCATTTCCTTATTTATTTATTTATTTTTATCACAATGTAAGTGAATCTTTAATGGTCAAATCTTTTGCCCCTTTCCAGTCAACTTGTAAATTAAGCTTTTGTTTTTCATTGTTGAAATGGAGGATG